TGCTGTGTCAGATGGCACCACGTTAACCAACACTGCTGCCACTTCTCATGTAATTATGCTTCCTTTTTTCCTCCTCCATTTTGTTCAAACAGGTTGTCAAAGGGGAAAAGAATTCAAACTTGTCTGTTATCCTGTTACACAGACAAGTATGCCATTAGTAGTTTTCTGTGTTCACAGTCTGACAGTATGTTTTGCAGCAGTTGTTTAAAAAAAAAATCATTGGCATAGCAGATTTGGTAATAAGAAAATGATACTAAGTTGTTGCACAGTTGTATGGTCAGCTACGGTGTATCAAACACTTTGCTTAAAATAAATGAAAATAAATTCAATAAATATCTGTTCCAAATGCATTAAAAGCAAGCGGTCTGTAGAGTTTTAAGAGATTTGTTTAAAATATTGTTAGCAACGTACAGGTTTGTGGAGTTTGTAGCCTCTGGGCTACCACCATTTTGGGGTTATACTGAGGTACAGATTTCAGTAGTATAACTTGTAAATTCATAGTAAATGTTTGCAATATTTAACGCATTTTTTTCCCCAGCCATGACCACTGACTGCACGAAACTGTTTTTCTCTCCTCTAACTAACCTTTTCCTCTCCTAAGCACAGTTTCTTACAGGAGTGAACTTCATAAGTAATCTTGTAGTACCCAAGTGTCTGTTATTTTTCTCTTGGTTAAGTCAAGGGAAAAAACAGCATGCTATTAGACATTTTATATGTACATTCACTTTTCTGTACCTTAGTACACTCCCATATGGTAGAAAGAAGGTATGGAATTTGGGTCAAATCCAGATCACTTCTTATTTCTTTTGAGATTATCTGCATCATTAAAATGAGTCAGAACAAAGCTTTCATTTAGATAGAGCAATTCATTGCTGAATTACAAAACAGAGATGTTCTGAAACCAAAGTTTTACTGGGTCACAACAGTGTTCAAACTTTGTACAAATACTTCAGTATGCCATCATTTGCAGGTCTGAAAAGAGCAAACAGTGTATGTATTTTTAAAGTTTCATGTATATTTTATAAAAAGTATTTTGAGACCAAACTTGCGCATAGTCACCTGGAATGTCAACGATCTGTTGTCAGGGCTCTGGATGCTGTTTAAAAAAATAATATTAATAACAGGCATGTAAAAGCTGTCATTCCTAAGTCTTGTAACACAGCTCTGAAACTTCTTTTTTTTAAAGAATCAGTACTGTGAATCTGCATACAGCCCAGTAGTTGTAAGCAGATACCGTAATCAATATAGACTGGTCTTTGTAAATAAGGCACAATCACTACGTGACCATTTACTAGCTATGGGAAGCATGGAACATTTATATTTTCTTCTAACCTAAAATAATTAGCTAACTGTGTTTGTTTTCTTTGAGCACCATTTTTGTAAGCAGAAGCGAACAATCCTTCCTTCTTCCATTTTTCGGGTAGTCTCCCTGTAGAGGTATATGGTATGGTCAGATCTGACTGCCACTTTTTCTCTTAGACATCGCAAGGATGAGCATAGCAGTTGTTCACCGTTAATGGACAAAGGATGAGTCTCCCACCAAAGGACATAAATGCCCAAACAGTCCTAAGAGCCCCACAGAAGTTAAACTGCTGGCAAGACCCACCTCTACAGTGTAGAAAAGTCTTTGTCTCCCATCCTCTGTAGAGGAGGGTGAGATGACTATAAATCTATCAGTGAAATGAGAAAATGATGGTGAAGCTGGTGGCACACACACGTGTGCTGCTAGTGGCTCTACTTCTATAGTGATCTTCATTCTCAAAGGAGAGTCCTGTTGGTTTTGTAGATGAAAACCGCTGAGAAAACAATAAAAGTAATACAGGATTGTGCCATCTAGCATTGTGCCCACATAAGACAGAACCACGCTTTCAAAGACGTTGGGGTTGTTTCTTTATTCTTGAGGTCCTTAATAAGAGCTTAGGCAAAAAGGTTTTGCAGCACATCTTATGAGAAGAAGAAACATCAAGAAGAGCTGAATCAACAAAATTGTAAAATATTCCAGGCAAAAGGCAGAGCTAAACATAAAACTGTGGTTAATTGGCCATACTTTTAGTCACAGATTACAGATTCTTTGAAAATCTGAAGCATGAGAATTTTAATTCTTACTTGGGCTTATGCTTTGAATTGGAGTTAAAATCAGAGAAGAGCTGGTTTTGGAAACTATTTTTTCTGACTCTATTCCAATTATGAACATTTCCCTTATAAAGTAATTTTTGTGGGTTCTTTTTGTTTATGTAGTTTAAAATTGTGGAATCTAATGGAAACTTGGAAATGGAAGTACACATTAGGTTTTTGCCTTTTCCCGAGTTCCAGGACTGTCTCAAGCTGCAAGAATTGATCCTGAGTATTTTAGCCTAATTCAACGTCTTGAGGCCAGGGGTGTGCTGTGCAGCGTTGTTGCACAAAACTGCTCAGACCTCCATAATGGGACCTCTGTCCCTTTGCTGCCTGCCTCAGCAGAAAGTTAGAAAGCAGCTCCAGTCTCAAATAGATGTTTTTCTCTGCTGTGATTCAGAAGTCGAGAGAGCTGCTTTTTCTGATGCTCAGGCAAATTAAAGGAAATGTAAACATGGTACCTAGGAGGAATCTTTACAAGAGTTTGATTACCTAGCAGGAGAATTAGATGGCTCTGCTAGCAGTGGAGCACAGGTGAAGTATACTGGAGAAAAAAAAATAAATGGAGGAGCCTAGGGAAATGAACAACAGAAAGAGATGAGGATTATCTTCCCACTAAACTGGAAAATAGGTGTGTTTTGGTGAAGTAGTTTCTGTATCATCTTATTGTCCCACAAAGGAAATTACCTAGGAAAGTAAAAGGTCTAATTCACAAATAGTCATCTTAAAGATTTTACTTCCTTTACTTCCTGGGAACAGACTCTGTCACTTGGAACTAAAGCATCACACTCTCAGATTGAAATGTCAGTAGTTCTCAAATGATTCCAAGGGCAGGAAAGGCCCTTGGAACTTGAAACTTCACAAAACTATCTTTTATAGCTAACCCTCTCACCAGTGCAAGATGCATCAGATGAACAAATGCAATAACCACCTTCACAGAAACTTTCCTCAAAGAGAAGGTCATTAGGAACTAAGAAATTATAGCTGAGCTGATATCCTCTCTAAAACTTTCAGAAGCAAACCCAATAATGTCATATATGGACCCGCCGCATACACATTTATGACTGATGTCCATCAGCTACTTGTGTGGGTCTTGTTTTCATTATATTGTGTACTACTTAGTGTAAGAGCCTTACTGTCTAACCCAGCTATTTGGTAAAGCCCATCACAGGAATATCTTAATTTTTTATTACAGAAATTCATAGGAGTAGCTTTCCACTTTACAAAGAACTCACACTAGTTCTGCTCCTCTCTTCAGAGAAACAAAAGCCATAGTAAATGAGTAAGAAGGTGTAAGGTTCTGGACGTAGTTGCACCCTGTCTTCCTTAGAAACAAGCTTTCCCAAAAAGACAATAGGCAGGAAAAGAGAATGGGTGAATCCCTGAAGTAGGGTAGAAATGGCTGGCCTCATCTAGGAACCTGATCTGAAAACGTGGCTTCATACCTCTTGAAATGCTATCTTTGAGCTCTTGTAGCTTTTGTATTCCCTACAGCTCCAAGTTCTTTTGGAGGGGAGGATGATGTGAGAAAAGCCAACTTAGTTTACATTTTGGTTCTTGACTTCATTAAGAGAGGAAACGTTTAAACACAGAAGTTTTAATGGAGGCGTCACCACAACACAAACTTTTCAGCTCAGTTCTGAAAACAGGCATCCTTAAAATGAGAATGCCTTGGATTCATCTAGGAGTTCACATGATGTCTGCATAGGAGCCAGAATTCATTTTACTCTCTCAGCTATTGGAGGCAGAGACATTAAAAATTTAAAATCAGATCAGTAATCTCCAAAATACAAATGTATACAAGAAGTCATGAACCATTTCATTTTTAAATGTAGAAATAACATACTTTTTAATATGTTTTTTATTTATGCGTTGCTGCTTCAGATAGTCTCATGTTTTACATTTACAGCATGTTTCAGTTCTTCTCTTTTGTTCTATAAAATTGAGCAAATTTGTAGCACTTCTGATTTTGTTCAGATTTAAAGAGGCATTCTGCATTAAAGGAGATGTTACAGAGAGCTTCCCTCCCTTTTCTGCTGAAATATTCACTACCCACGTGTTTCATTCAATGCTTTCTTAGTATCTGTTTTAATCCTTGCAATACTCCCCATAAAAGTGCTACAGCTCAGATGTGGGGATTCTAAACTGGGGGCAGGGAAGCAGATTGTTTCAGAAGTACCTCTTGTGACTAAAGCCTAGATGGCTTGTGATGCTGCTATATACTGCCAGTTTACTTAGCTTTCCCATTTTACTTGTTTGATTTTGTTCTGTTGTTTTGTGGTTGTGGGGTTTGGGTTTTTTTTCACTGGTGCTATTTATTTTTATTGTGATAGATTACATATCAGCATCCCGTAATCACTCCAGCTGGCTTCCATTTTTAAAGAAGCTTTGGCTCACTCTCTTTAGCTAATCTTAATGAGACTTCTCCCTTCAGTCTGCACAGAAGTTCCTATTAATATCAGTAGGGCTTGAGCATGTGCATTAAGGGAATAGTGAGTGATCTGTGGCAGGCAGTCTTTGTTGCACAATGAGAGGAACTTTTACTGCCATCTTCGTTTTATATTGCTGTCAGACTGCTGCAGACCTTGTCTGTGCCATCTTCGTTGCCTTGACCGTGGTCTTTCTGTCACCTTCCCATGACTTCAGCATGCTTCACAGACAGCACATACAAGGAGAGAAGGGGGGAGGTACCAGGTATATAAGGAACACATTCTGCTCCCCTTGTGATGAGTTTTGTATTTCAGTGAATGCAGATGCCATTATGGCTAGGTACCTGACAACTGGTAATTGTTGTGTGGATGACAGTCTTGCATTACTCTTTGTTTGGGATGGCAGTGGGAGGGCTTTGTGTGTAGTTTAATGGCATATTGTTTTGTTTCTCTCAGGCTCAGATCACAGTGAATGGGAACTCTGGCACTGCTGCCAGCCCAGTGAGTCATTTTCAAAGGCCTTTTTCCCCTTCTTCAGCTTACCCTCCACCAGCTTCACTCAATTCCAACATTGTTATCATGCAGCATGGCAGGATGATGGGTAAGCCTCACACAGAACGTTTGCTTTATACATTACACAACATATTCCAATTCATGTGGCAAAGACTGCAAACAATTGCAGAGTGCTTCACATCCATAATGAAGGTATTGTCTATTCATCTACCTTGGGAAGTAAATAAAATAAAATAAAAAAAAAAAGCATTTATTATTAGATACAGTAGTGATCCTGAACTGGAGTTAGTATTAAGTTTTATTACTTATTTGTGCAAGAGTGACCTCTTGCCACCTTTCTACTAGCTTTACTGAGGAAAGAGCATATATCAAAATAGCTCAACCTGTGCAGCCCCTTCAGATTTTGCCTTCTTTAAGAAACCAAGGGCTAACTTTGTACATTGGTTCTCCCCACAACTTCTGTAATCTTCAGTAGAAACACTGCCAACAAAGGGAGGGGCTCTGGGCTTTTAAAAACCTAAAGCCATGTCAATCTATAATTTGTCTATGGGTTGGGTTTTTTTGTAGGGCATTGTTAATTATTTTTTTTTAATATGTGACCAGCCTTAGAAAGGCACTTTGCCAGTATAAACCAGTTTTGCCAGAACAATCATTTGCTTGCTGCTTTATCTACCAGTGTTTTGCATGTTCAGATAAGACTATACATGCAAAATAATTTAAATGTGATTCTGGGGGTTACTTTTTTGTTGCGCATGCGGGGTTATTAGGTGACAGTTCTCGCTCTGAGACTTACGGCTTAGACAAATGCTGCTATTCTTATCATAGCAATAAGGACAAAAACTGTATATATGGGTTTCTCCACATCACAGAATTCTAGATTCTTTAATTGCTTCCAGTTCACTGATCTAAAGGCCTATCAATTCTGTTTTGGATACACCCAAAATAAGTGAAGTGTTTTCCCATGACTTTTACTTTTGTATGATGTTGAAGTTCTGCGTTCCACAATAACAGCCTGATTTAATTCTCTTTGCTCACGTAAAAATCCCACTGATGGCCTCAGTTTGAGGCCTATGAAGACTGAAAGATCAAATCCAAAATGTTTTCTAAATTTAACATCATGCATTTTGGGAAGAAGGCCCAAATATTCAGGCATTTGCCACGCAGAGTTGCCCCTCACCATATATGTGTAGCACTGGTTTATTTACAGAATTTCAAACTTGAGTAAACAGCTAAAATAGCCATGCCAAATCCAGCTCTCTGCAGTAGGAGTGAGCAGAAATATTCAATTAAACTTAGAGCTGTCAGTCACAAGAGCTTATTTTGCTGATTTATATTACAATTCAAATATTTTGCTTCAGGAGAATCAGCGGATGTTAATGTCACACGAAAGGCAATTGTGATCTTCACCTGTAGTGTTAGAATATTTATTTTTACTCCCTATATTCATTTATCCTGCAGTAGAAATGTCTCACAGGCATTGTACCTGCTCTTGCAAAAAAAAAAAAAAAAAATGCTTTGTCATAGCGGCCCACTAATTTATTGAAGTGTGCTGCATGAAGGAGTAGGGCTCTTTTTCCTGTGTACGGGAATGAAGTACATCATCTGCAGCAGTACAAATTTTCACAGGACACATCCCAGCAGTGGGGTGTTTTTTGTTAAATAAATGACTCTGAATTTTAGAGGGAAATGGTAATAGTGACATATTAATTTCATTAATTATAAAGGCAGATTTGGGGGAGAGGGGTAGAAATACTGCAAGTCACCACAAACCAGTAGCAGCCTGCACGATTCACCTAAAGTACTGTAGGTGGATCATCACATTGCTCTACAGATACCAAGTTACTGAGGTCCATTTTTATGAATTATATGTACAAACATAACTTCGAGGAACAAAAATTGTATGTTGGAATTTGTTTTTTAAAAATATTCATGTATCAAAACTCAATGGTTCTAAACAGATAACATATAAGCCTTTGTGGAGGGCTGTTTGGAATCTGTTGCTGTGCTTACAGAACATCAATTTTCTATGGTTTGCTAGACTGGGCGGGAGGGGAGAAGTTTTGAAATTATATCACTAGTTTCAAGGAATGGATAGAAAAGGCGCAAGAGTCTGATTTATAGGAAAAAGGCTGCTGCCACTATTTCTCAATAGATTTTTGCTGGGTTTGTGGGGGGTTTTTTCTTTTTTTTTTTTTTTTTTGTGAGCAAGATGCTGTGAAAAAGTACCTCTAATCTAAGAAGATCTGAGTTGAATAGCCTGTCTGGTCCTTAAATAAGTTAATAATTCTGTTAATGTAATATTAAGTAGGGCAAAGCCCCAGCTAAGGTTATTTTTTTTTGAAGTGTTGTATATATATGCAGTTAAGATTGTTGTCAGTCTTTGTACAGCATACTGAAATGGGGAAGCGTGTTATAACTGCCAAGTATGATTATTGTGTCATTATACAATATTCTGTCATGTTATCTTTACAGAGTCCACAGAGACATACTCACAGCATGTTCAGACTGTTGGCAGCACCACAACCACCAGTACAATACCAATCTGTAGATCCTCAGAAGAAGAAAAAAAAATTACAGTCATTAAAGCTCCACATTATGCAGGGATTGGCCCGGTAGATGAATCTGGAATCCCTACAGCAATTAGAACGGTAGGAAATTCTGGGGAATCTGTGTATGAACTCATACAATGAATTAATTGTTGGTAATGGGTTTTTCACATTCTTCTAGTCTTATATAATGTGGAATACAGTGTGCGTAATCAGCGAGCTCATGAATATAATATTGTGTGTTGACGGAAAAGGAGAATGCTGATGGGAGCATAATTGGGCAACCTCATGTTTCTAGTTTTAATTAGAAGTAGCCAAAACTTTGTGTGTCTTTCTTGCTCCTCTTGTAGTTCTTACCTTTTGGAGATACGCAGTAATTGCATTTGTTTTGTTATTTCTAAAATAAAGTTTATACATACTATATGTATGCATGTATGTAAGTATACATATATACGTATGTGCATGTATATATAAAAATCTCACGCTTCTGCATTTTGGGGGCAGTGGTTCTCATGTAATCAGAGTAGTGTAGACATGAATAGTTTTGTTCTGATAATAATCTAAGTGACTAGCATTTTCGTGGAAGTGCAATATGTAATCATTGTGCCCTTGAGTGACACGTAGACGAATAGCGTGGAAGCCCTTTCATTGTGACTAGCCCAGTTTTGATCATCTGCCACTAGTCGCTGCTTGAGTGGTCCCAGAATGTCGAACTGAAGAGTTTTGTTTTCACTATGCTGAAGCATTCTTTCCACTCTGCTGTCAGGGCAGCCTCTTCTGGCTGGTCCAGAGAGGACAGTGGCAGCTGCGCTAGGTCTGTAAAGGAAGTGCTTACTGGCCTTCCCAGCCGGAGAAGAAGTGCTGTGCTAGACGGAGAAAGAGTAAGAAGAGTGGGAGCCAGGATGAAAGCGGCAGAGCCCTTGCAGGTGAAGTCTTTGGGAGGTGCAAGGAGGTAGCAGCTGTTGGATGTATCCTCTCTGCCAATACTGACATATGGGGCTGTGTTGTATTGCCAAGAACTGCTTCAATGGATTGAAAAATTAGGGGGGAAATCAGGAATTGATGGAGAAAAGCAATAGGAAAAATTCAGAATAAGTGGTAAGATGGGGACGATTTTTATAAGAATGGGGGGAAACTCTGGCATTTCTTGCTTTATTTTTGATGTAAAAAGTAATACGATCAGAGTCTTTTAAAAATGAAGACATTTCTTTGCAACAATGCTCTAGCTTCCTACCCCCTTTTTAAGTAAATATGTCCCTATGCTTTATAAAGGATAAAGTAATTATTTTTGTTCTTTTTTTTTTGTAGCAGATTGATCTAATAGGGTGCATACCAGTTATCTAAGATTTTAACAGAAATCACCCTCAAGTGTGCTTAACAGACTTGGCAATCTGCCAGCCTATATTTAACTTTTGGATTGTATGGTCCGAGTCTCTCAGATCTTTTCCTAAAAACATAATGTAATTTGAATTAGGACATTTTTCAGCTGGATTTGCTCTGGGGTTTTTTATGTTTCAATTTCAAAATATCTTATAGCTTGAAAACTTAGTATTATAGAAATGATTCTCACAATGAGATACGAGTTAAAAGATTATGCTAGCATGCGTGTGTGAGTGCGTGTCTCGTGTGCCACTTTGTGTCCTTACTCTGCTTCCTTAGGACTTACCTGGAAGTCAGATTGTTTTCAAGATATTGATTTGAGATTACCTTTTAAATGTGCGTGGGTATATCTGAGCCCTGTGTACCCCAGTTGTGTAAGAATAGAGGTGGTGTAGTTGTCAGCAAAAGACTCAAATATGCTGCACCTTGACACCTCTCAGAAGTGCAGTACTATGCAGAAACATGCAAAAGTGCTGTAACTGCATTTCCCATGAACAGTAGAAGGTAGGATATATCATTCACTCTTTCTCCAAGGTCAGTGAGCAATCCAAATAGGCATCTTCTCCCAGAAAATTGAGCCTCACTCCATCTGGAGAGAGAAAGAAGTTTTTGAATAAGTTGAGTTTATCGTTGCATGCAAAGTTTAAAATTTTCTTATTCTTCCATCTTTATGAAAATGCCAACAGTCTATCTATCAAAAAAGCAGTAAACGCAGATTCATGGGGGATAGGTAACATACACGCTGTGTTCCAAAACACTGTGCTACTCAAAGGTAAGCTTGTAAATAAGAACTTGGGAGTATCTGTATTTCAGTTCTGGAGTGCTTTTCAGGAGTAGAGAGAGTTTCAAGCTGTGCTTATCTCCTCCAAGTTTGTCTTTACTCTCAGAACATGGTTTGTGACAGCTGTTTAGCCAAGGAAAGCAGTGATGTTCTCTTCTCTTTCTATTCCTGCAAACCCTCTCTGTCCAAAGCTGCTGAGAGGGGAAGGATTCCTGTAAAGCCTTCCCTTCTCTCAGAACCTCCATCCCATGTTAGCATGTTCCCTCCATACCACTTGAGCTCCTGCCAGCTCTGGGAAGTGCAAGTCTGAAGCCTGAAAATTCAGATCATTGTTAAGTTTTGCCACCATGCCAAGCCCTGCCCCAAAGATGGTGAAATTCCAAGGCATTAAAAATGAAGTCTTTGGAAGAGAGAGGGTAAAATGCTGCTCACTCAGAAAAGCATTCAGTCAAATGGCACCACCGAAGTTTACCACCGACAGGGTCCTAGGAAAGGAAAAAACAGAGTCACAGAAAGCAGTATGACTGCACTACTTTATCCAAAATGATTGCTTCATGTCTAACTATCAAAATTAATCTGTAGACTGAAAAGGCCTTTATTTACTAAGAATGGAAAAAAATAAAAAATCAAGTCCCACCAGATTTCTTTTCCATAATTTGTGATGTAATATTTCAGCTAGAATTAAAAACGACAGAAGGTCCACCGAAAGTCATAAATGCCTCCTTTAATTGCATACTTTCTGATGGATTATTAGAATACTGCAATGTTTATGGACTCTCCTAAGTACCAACTGCAGATACTTCTTATGTCCTCTTCACACTATTTGGCTGATTGTTCATTCACATATGATGATACCATGTTCCAAAATTTAATTGCAACAACTATAATGTATGCAAAGCAGGAAGGCATCTGAATGGCTTGGTACAATGTGAATACTGCTAATTCCTCAAACAAGTGTTGGTATGTGGGATTAGTGAATATAAATTGAGAAAATGTATTTTTAAATTAATTTATTCTATTCCTTAACTAATCCTATCTGGTTTATAATGTAAAGCCAAATTATTGGCTGAGGCTTTAAACCCCAGGGTGGGGGTTAAGGGGGAGATGACGAGAGAAAAGCGTTCAAATGTCCAGAAAGATGTTGGGAGACCTTCTTTTCTGGTCACGTGGGAGCTTCTCCATACCTGATCTATATGTGGAAGCCTCCTGTTGATTTGTGGAGGACCTGACTGATAAGGAGGATTTGGCAAAGAGATATCTATGCACCTTTGTCTCTTGACAAACAGTGGGGTCATAGCAGTAACATTTATGCAGTTTCCAATCTATTCACCTATCACTGATTTTAGCTCTGCTGGAAGTCTGTTCTTGGCCCAATACAATCAGAAAGGCAGTTGCAGTATCATGGGACCATCGCAGGTTTGTAGTGCTGTAGGAAATGTGGAGTACCATGGAGGTTATGCCCATCAGCATGAATTCTTTCAGACCTTCTGAACTTCCTTGTAAATGTTTGAACATACATGATCTTGGAGCACCAAACAGCATACTTGTTTCAAATCCAGCTAAATTATTCTTACCAGAGTTCTGCTACTATAGATGTTTAATACCTTAGGGAAACAATGTTAAAATGGTCCAAATCTGCTTCTGAATAGCTTCCCTTTGGCAGAAGTCAGGAATGCTGGTAGGTAGGGGAAGGCATCTGATCTTGATGCAAAACTGTATCTCCTTCATCTCTTGCAAGCAGGTCTGGGTAAAAACCATCACCTGCCGCTTAAATGTCTTTCTTCCCCAGCAGATCCCTGAGTTCTTCAGTTGACTGTCAGCTCTTCTTTTAAACAATTTTTTTTAGTATGTCATTTAGTAGTAACTCTGTGGGAACTCATATTGATTCCTTAGAAGAAGGGAGCACTTTCTGCTTAGTCCCTTACAGTAAGAGCTCACCATTGCTAACAAAACAGATTAATTATGTACAGTAACTGTAACAAGTATTTAGGGCAAAAGTGTGATTCAGTAAAGATGGCATGGAGCCAGGTGAACACACTCAGATCTGACGGTTATTTTGTAGAGAAGAGTTTGTGGATTTTCACTTTTCATGGTAAAGAGGAGTGGGCAGAGTGATTGCAGATTTAGTATTAGGTAATGCAAGATAACGCACATCAAGAGGGGTCTTTCGAATTGTCCCTGTGCACCATGAGGTTTGAAGATAATTTTGTACGTCTGTATTAAAACTTTTGCTTTTCTGACTACTGTGGAACAAGTAAAATTTTAGGATCCAAGAATAATAATACTGAAAACATGTTTGCCTTTGTGTTATCTCCTTTTCTGAAATACTATCATCCTATCTCAAAGAAAATTGCAGCAAAAGAGAAAATGCAGAAGGGTAAGAGAAAAGAATAATTAGAAGCACGAGCAAGTGTTGATATGAGGAGAGTTTGGGAACTTTGGGATTGCTTAGTTTACAAAAGTAAGGATAAGTATAATTTAATGAGTGGTTATTGAAAGGTATATTGTATTCGCTTTTCTCAAAATAGAAAAATAAGTTAAAATTAAGTTGCCTGGAAAGGGAATTTAAAACTGATAAAAGGAAATACTGTCTGTTTACAATCCAAACATTAACTCTTAAATATAGTGTTGTCTTAATTCTTTTCTTGGTAGTATTCCCGAGTTTTTCTGCATTACTTAAAAATTACATTTTGAAGACACTTTAAGTTGCCAGGAGTTCAAAAAAATCTCTTCGTACATGCTTGTAATTATTAAGGTGTTTGTATTTTCCTGTAAAGTATCTAGCATTCATTGTCATCAAATATAGGGCACTAAGAAGATAAACTCTTGATCTGGCACTAATTCCTACGTTCCTCCTAACCATTGTACCCTCCAAGATCAAAGTCCAGAGCTGACTCAGTCTTCAGTGTTTTCCAGAATGCGTTAGAGGAATTCCTAGATGAAAAGCATAAATCCACCATTTGAAATAGATGGTATGAAAATGATTATATTAAATAGGGGAAAACAGATAATAGATTTTGTGTCTAGAATAATATTAAATGTCTGATCACATCTGTGCACACAGGTTTGGGGTTGTTTTTTTTGTTAATGGCTAAAACTATATTTTATTTAGACAGTTGACAGGCCGAAGGATTGGTACAAGACAATGTTCAAGCAAATCCATATGGTTCATAAGCCTGGTAAGTATACTTTTGTCTTGGCTGGGTGGTTCTCAGTGGTATTAAAAAAATGTGCTTTTCTGTATTTTGATTGTCTGCTATGTGAAAATACAAGTGTTCACCAAGTGTCAGATAATTAATCAAATCAAATGGGCAAATTGGATGATAGATTTCACTGCAGAGCGAGCTATTTTCCTCTGCTAAGGCTGAAAATTTCTAATGCATTTATTTTGTTACTAAAACGAAATAAAAATTGAAGTGATTAGAATAGGTATGCAACCAGTATGATTCCATGTCACTGGGGAGCTCAGTGAAGTGATCCTTGTCTCTAGTTTGAGGGATGAGAAATTGGCTGCTGTAAATCTCCGACATAGCAGCTTTCTTTTGGAGAGCTCGTGTTAGAACAGCATGGGCTAGAAAGCAGACTGTTTTGAGGATACATTTTGTGTCTGAATTGCATTTTTCTCATAGAATGTCTTATTTGGTTTTGTTGAAATGGAGCTTTGGTGACATTACTAGCTTTAGAGTTCATGTCCTTTATCATGATTGTCACCAAGGATGTCAAGAAACCGTATAAATGGCAATTATGCTCATTACACCTCTGGAAGGAAGGAGATTATTCACCTGAGGTAGGGCTTGCATTCAGTATGGTCATACAGAATTAGTGGGAGAATTAAAAATGTAAGCAGGAAAATTTTGGCTTACAGGATCTATTTTGAACACTAGTCACGTAGTAGATATTTGAGGTTGCTTTTTGTGATAGGAACAACAACTTAATAGTCCCTAATAGAGAGCTGCTGACAAAGGGAAGAAATTGAGCCTGGAGAAAGGAGAACAGACAAAAAGCGATAATGTGCAATTCAGTGCTAACCAGCAAGTACACAATATGGGTGACATGACAAGAACATACCATTTTACCAACAAGATGGTAAAAATAGCCTATGGTAAGTACAATGGGAAGAGAGAGTCTTCAGAAAACACCTCTGAGATGAGGAAAAGAAATACAGCCAGCACTTGATTGCCTACCAATCTTCTGTCTCTATTTGCAAAAACAAAGCTGCGTTGCTGTGATAAACTGGCATATATTGCACTAACGTAACCTGTGTATTTCTTTTTGTAGATGACGACACAGACATGTATAATACTGCATATGCATACAGTACTGGTAGGAATTATTCCCTTCCTTCAAAATGAGTCTTTTGTTAATGTCAGCAAGTAACAGGGATAGTTAACTATTCATGCTTGGTTTTATAATGCTTATATAAACACTTTTTATTGTCTTGTTTGATCTCAGTTGGTGTTTTTTCATGCCCTTTTTTCCCAAATGAAACAAAGTTTAATTTTGGTTTCATTCTTACCACAGAAATGAATTGCAGCTGTGGGCCTCTTACTGCAGATGGGATACATTGTAATACTGTAGTTTCTGATTATGTTGCATTTATTTTCACTAGTGATTGTGAGTAAGGCAGCCTTTCCTTAGCAAAATGAAACAGGAGTTACTGTGTGAAACTACAAATGCTAATTACATAGATGGGAAGACAAAAAGGTTGTACTGAAAACACCATTTTAAAATATGCAGTAAGAGTGCCTAATAAAGATGACTCTGTTTTATGATCTTGTTCATTTTTGCTATAAGCACTGGTGTTGACGTTACTTAGCGCCAAGACAGACATATTCCTCTAATAGAAATATAATTGTTGTGTCTTTCAGAAGTTTATAACCATGTGGTAAAATTATTTAAAAGAACAAAACTGAAAGTGTGAAAGACAATATGTGCAAAAAAAAAACCCCAATGAAGTGCCTTTTGTGAAAATACCTTTCAAAATTTTGCCATTTCATTGTTTGTCGCATTCGACATGCTCTCATACTGCATTTTGTGTACTGTTGAGAGCATTTGTTGTGGGTCAGTTGTTCAAGATCTGTTTGGACTCTTGTGATCTTCTTCAAGATACGCTATTGCCTAGTTGTCCTAGACTAACAATAATTACTAAAACAAGGGGGAAAAAAGTGCATTTCCTGCCTCTTCCTTCTAAACGTAGAACTGAGAGGCAGGATGAGCCTGGGGATTAATAACAGGCTGTCATTAACAACTCTGATGGATACATACAGCCATTAACTTCCCACCCCCTCAGATTAATCATTAATTTATTTTAACTATACTGCACTTTATCTGTGTGTTTCTACTTTTATGTAAAATATATTAAAAGATTCTAATGAGCTACATAGTATACAGCAACGTACATTTAAAAAGGCATTTACATATTTTTGTAACCGTGCAGCTTTATTGAGTAACTGTGGGGTTTTGTAGCATTCTGTGGTGTGTTTTATTAAAACTCATTCTCATGCTGTGACTGTTTCTGGGTTTGTTTTATATTAGGTAGCTACAGTCCATCCTTCTCTGCTCAAGCACACCCAGCTGCAAAGACGCAGACATACAGACCATTGTCTAAAAGCGCTTCTGACAGTAGCTCTGATGCCTTTAAGGTCTCATCCCCTTTACCACCTCCACATGTGCCACCTCCAGTACCACCACATCGTCTGAGGGAAAGGTCTACCCCAGAAAAGTAAGTTAGCATAGTTTCAAAAAGTGTTCTTGGTATGTACAGTAATCCAGTTACAGGGTATCACAAAGGAAAAAATAGCAGCTATAGAATAATATGACTTCAAGGGCTTTATTCAAGGGACAGTCAAGTGATGAGGGGTAATCTTTATCAGTAGCGTAGGTATCGTGTGGTGCTGCCATTTTTTCAATGTGCTAAAGAAGTGCTTATTCTTACAAGTGATACCATCACGAGCATTTGTCCTGCTTGTTGTGTTTCAGAACAGTCCATGCTCTAGCACCTGTCCCGAATAGTTAGTCTCTGAGTCGGAAACGCCATTTATGGTATCCAGTAGCAAAGAGAAAGGATCTGAATGATGTTGTAAATTGAAATTCAAGGAAGAGCAAAACTGTAAGAGCATGGCAGTCAATCCCCAGAACTCAGAAGTACTTTACATCCCCATTTTTTAAAATCTCCATCTCCATTTTGGTAGACCAAGAAGGTGTTTATAGATTAAAGGAGCATTTCAGTTTTCTCATGGTTTTCCAGCTTCAAACTTGCTGCGCAAAACCAGGTCCCAGTGGTTAGAGTCCAGTTTGGAAGATGTTAATACTTAATAACTCAGGAAAGAAATGCTTATCCTTCTGATAAAAACATGCAGAGTGCCCTGTGCACAAACTCTGTAGACTCTTCAGCAAGCAAAAAGCTTTTTCTTTAGTGTTTACATTCATGAACGCTACATGTTAATATAATACTATGTTATTACACTTTTATATATGTATGTGTATCTATGTATGTATATATTTTATACATGAAAAGGGTCATTTTCTGTTCCATTTGTGGCTACAAGACCACCTCTCTTGGTTACACTCAAGCAACAAAACAGAATTTGCCCATTTTGTCAGCTTGGACATTGTAAACGTTTTTGTATGTAGGAATTGAATTATATTAAGCAGTTTCAAATAATTTGCAGTTTGCATAAAAGATTATGAGAAAAGAGCACACTAAGTGTTTAAGAATATGACTATGGCTTTTTTAAAAATTTGTAGATAGTGGCAATCCAAAAGGTAATCCAGCTGATACACATATTGCAGAGGAAAATGAGATTGCTCAATGGTTACTGATTTTGGCTACTCCGGTTGCTGAAGGCAGGCTATCATGAGGAAATGCTAGGGGTTAGAGTTGGGCTACCTCCCAAAGGCCATGAGATTTGAATTTTGTTAGCAAGTCATACGGAGGTGTGGATTTTGTTATCAAGGTACCAAAATGTGCATCTGCTTAGCTTTGATCTCTGAAGTTATGTGAGTCATCATCCTGTGCTCAGCCAACTGCCTTGGTCACAGAAACTGAGGCCCGTTACCGTTCCTTTTGTCAAGCTTGAAAATAATTGCTTCAGCACTGAATTTTTATGTAGCCTCTCCTTTTAATCTCCTGCATGATAAGACAGGCAGTGGAAATCTATGTTCTCCAGGCCAGGGGATGCCAAACACGTTAGTTATGCTTTGCCTGCTGCTGACAACTATAGCTTGTCAGTCTTCTCCTGCCATTGGGAGAGTGTTTTTTTAATTGCCTATAAAGCCTGAGTATTTAAAATCTCACATAAGAGGCTTAGGTCCACATGTATCACAGTTTTATAACTGGGAGGCAAGATATGGTTTGCATTAGCGTAGTCCATAAGGGATTACGGGCTACATGTTGTAAATTAAGTGAACCGAGTGTGAGTCAGAATTTTAGTAGCATCCTTTTTTCTTCAGTGACTTGCAGGATAATGCAACTTGATCAGAACACTTCCATTTTCCTGTTCATTCTCAAAAAATACCTAATATAAAACCTTTTCTGCTCTGATTTTTGCCTCAGTGAAAGTAAACAATAGAGACATGTAGAACTACTTCCCTTGAAATGTAGGGCATTTTATAAATAGATGTGTCTGTGCATTCACAAACATACTGTAAACAAAAGCTACCCCATAGATTTTTTTTTTTTAAGGCACGTGATGTGCCTTATGTCAGGTCACATCAAACCAAGTCACATCAGAAAGGCTGATAGAACTGATAGAATTTAATCAGTGTATGCTCTTTCTTATTGTAAATGTAGACAACAGCTGATAGGATTTCCCCTTTTCTTTCCCCCATTCTTTGAGTTACTAGTGGGTCATTTTACACAGAGCTAAATAAAAAGATGTATGAGCTACAGTTTTCCAAATGCAATGTGAGTAGTAACTACAAAAACTGCCACGAAAAGGTAACTCTCACTGTGATAGTAACTAGCTAACTATCCCCCCAAAATGTGTAGGTAGCTATTAATATAACATGGTAAATTACAGAAAAAATATAGTAGGGGTTACTTCTTTGCATAGCACTTTTAAATTTAAAGCAAATTTATAATTTTAGAGAAAATGGATACATTTCCCTCCCAAAGTCAACTGCCAAATTCTTGCTCTTGTTTACCTATTCAGATTTCCAAGGAAACAGTATACTGTTTACAAGGATATTCAGGAGCAGTTCTACTACAGATCAGGATAAAAAGCATCTATTAGATTTTCACACTGTCTTTTAAAATAATTCCTCATTTTTTGTCTCAGAAAATTTTGTAACTTTTTCAATATGGACTTGCTATCTTACTGTATGATACCAAAAATATCTACCACTTGCCTATATTGGTATAGTGTATAAAACAAGTATAGAAAATTTGCAATTTGAGAAGGCACGTCATGGTATTTTGACACAGTATGTCAGGGATGTTTTTAAACTGGTCTACCAGTTATAACAAAAGTGTGAGTTATCACATAGGCTGGACATCCCTAGTATTATTCCTGCTGTACTGAATATACCTGCTGTATAGATGATATAGTGGTTAAAACATTGGGATGCTAGGCCAGACATTTCACAACTGAAATCTGGCAAGAGAAACGGTGCTGAAATTAATTTGGTTTTGTGTGTTTCTCTAGCATGGAGCTGTAAAGCAGATGGCGATGACAGTAAATTAACTCAATTGCTTGTATTTGTTATTTAGAAATGACTGGGATCCCCCTGACAGAAAGGTTGATACCCGCAAGTTCCGTTCTGAACCAAGAAGTATTTTTGAATATGAGCCGGGAAAGTCATCAATCCTTGAACATGAAAGACCGGTAAGACACGTGAGTGAAATAGGTAATAAAGTAAGAGGTTTGGTGAAAGGTCATCTTTTTATTATTTACTACTGATATAACTACTTAGATGAATATTGAAGGTCCTTTTTCAAATATGATTTTGCAGCAATTTGTCTTTGCTCATTCCTGACGGTTGTATTGAAAATGTGGGTTTGGCTTATTTGCTAAACTTAGATCTTCTGGTATTTCCAAGAAATCAAACCACCACTGTGCAAACCTAATGGATGATGAACAGAACTGTGAATTAATGGAAACTGCTTTTTTCTAATTGGCATGCATCTCCAGCACTCATTTTCAGTATTATTAACAGCACATATGATATCTGATTAATTAGCGCATAAAAATAAACTATTTGCATTTTCAGGATGTGCCTAATTGTACAACTAAGGAGATTTTGGTCAAATACTGGTCAAGGTTGCCCAGAGAGGCTGTGGAATCTCCATTTCTGGAGGTGTTCAAGACTCACCTCGACACAGCCCTGAGCAACCTGATCTGATTAGACCTGCTTTTAGCAGGAGGTTGGACTAGATGACCTCTGGAGGTCCTTTCCAGCCTCAATTACTCTCTGATTAGTGAGTATACATTAATGTATAATTCGAAGTCTTTATTCCTGCTTTCTGAATAATGATTGCAATTATGGAATTCTTCACAAGCATGTCTGATAAAGCTATGCTTAATGCATGCAAAATGACCATTAATGGAAGTTTTCCTTTGCTGAAAGACACATTCACCCAGCCTTTCTAATTTACCTTTGTGCTATCTCAATACTTCCTTGTTTTAGGAAAACTGTTATGTATCAATGGCAGTATTTTCTTTTCTTGGTCTTTTACTTTGAGGTTGAAATGGTTGAGGGAGTCAGTTTTAAAGAAGAGGTTTATATAATCAATACTGGATTATTATTTACTTCTGTGTTACTGCATTACATGCTTGTACACAGAATTTATTTTACTCATTTAAAATAAATTAAGGAAATAATTGAATTCCAGAATATGTAGTATGTCAACAGTGTGAAACACCTGTACTAAGCACCTTTCCCTTGCGTTTTTGTGGTCTTCACAGGACTATAATTTTCATTAGCTAGAAAATATTAAGCTGGGTTTCTGCCAAATTAAGTTCTTGCAGAACTGATGCATTTTTCAAAAAGGAAATTGGCATTTCTGTAGGAATGGCTAATTAATCAATATAATTAAATGGGATTTAGTATTTATTGTGAAGATGAACTTAACAAATAACTTTATTTAAAAGGTGATGGCATTTGTTCTGAGCACTTTTTTGATTGCCATGGCTGCATTATACACAGTGAGGTCATTTACCAGCCTTTCCAATGCCAAAGAATAACAGCAGATTCAAGTTAAAAATAAGAAAATTACAGTGATGTTTCAAGAGTGGCCTTGCTTTTCTAATAAATTACATTTTCTACTAATGTAATATGAAAAAAACAATTCATATAAGAATTGCAGTGCTAATGAAAATGATCATAGATACAATTTTTCAATTTTAGCAAACTAATGAAATGACAAAAAAAGTGAGCTTTGCTGACTGTTCCTGAATCCTTTTTTTTTAACTTCCTTATGCATTTTATTTTTTATGTTCTCAATCAAGAGGTTGGGTTTTGAGCTTTGTTTGGTCCTTAATATATTTTCACGGAGAAAACCCCTAGTCACGTTGTACTTACTGAGCAGCATCAGTCAAGGACAAGATTACACTTTATCCTCTGAAGCTCAGACTAGAAGTTTAGACTTAGCTGATGTAAATACAAGGAAATATCTCTTTGTAGAATAAATTTTAAAAGCTGAGGAAATAATATTTGTGGACAGAATGAAGAGATTTTATGTTTATGTACGATTCAGAGCTGTAAAAGATCAGAAAACAGGGATTAATGTAGGATACAAGAGATAAAAGTTGGGCTGACACTAGTGTAACGTTATTAACTGATATAAAAATAGTTGAAGTTTTACCAGTCTGGAATTTCTGCTGTTGATAAAGATGATGTTTAGCTTTATGTATGTAGATACTTCCTTTGGACTGTATTACAAAAAGAAAAAGATTTGGTTTCACTAAAGCATTTGCTTTCCTTGTGTTTGTTGAATGGGGTATTGAAAGCAAAACTCACAACTTCTTAAAGGGAGATCAGCAGAGTAGGTCACAAGATTTTTCTGTGTGCGTAGGAAAAGCTGACATCTGAAAACGATGCATTAGTTCCAAATTCAGATGAAAACTCCAAATTCTCAACTGTGTCAGTATTGCATGAGTTAAGTCTTTCATCTTGATAATCTCAAAAGATTTGATTTTTAATGTCTGAAAAATTGTTCTGATCATACTGAAAGAAAATATTAATCAAAATATGGAATATAAAAATAAATATAGTTCATTAATATTGTGAAAGATGGACATTTATAGCACCTGAACTAGAAATTCTTACTTTATTAGTTTTGCCAAAACCAAAAAAGTCAAAGAGAGTTTCTCCAACAATCCAAATCGTAAAATTTTTTGCTGAAATTAAATCATTTCCATGTCTACAGGATTGCAGTTTTGTTGGCAAAATGATCTGGGGGAAAAAAAAAAAGGAAGAAGAAATACTTACAGCTTCCTTATATGATAATAAACAGGGCAGGTGAGGTTTGAAAGATAAGCATTTCCTTTATTGACGCAGGTACTACATTGGAACCAGTTGTGATTAATGTGGAGATCAGAAACATGGGAAGAATATTATAAAATGAGATTCAATGTAAAACTAACATTTAGTGGGAAATATTATTCAGTAGATCCTATTCAGTAGGTCAAAAGAATGTGAGAAATAATAAACCTAAAAAAAAATGACCTAGTAATAAACATTAAATGGATAGATTGGTTAGGGATGGATGATTATCTTTGTTATGGATATAAAAAGATGAGTGTAATTTCAAGCTGCAGTATCATGTAGCAGCCTTATGTCATGAAACAGGAAATTAATGTGTTTTCTTCTGCAATTTGTAAGAGTATAAAACATCAACAAAAAGGAGAGGCTTAGGATTGGTCCTTTGAGACTACAACTAAAAGTAAGTGACATTAAGCTGTTGAATAGTCTTCCAAGCAATGATGTGGCAGCTCCTTTCTTCCTGTTTCAATAAGCCCATAAAACATTACCATTTATTCTAATAACATAGCACTGATAAGGTGATACATAAGTTGTCTTGATGTATGTTTCCATCTCCAATGACTGCAGTTCAATAAAACACTCTTCTTTTTCTCTAATATCATCTGAACCATGGATTTATTTCCTAAAATGGATGTTTACTTTCAGTGAATAAGTAAATTGCAGTGTAATAATTTAATCTTACTTGTATGAATATGAAGTTAAATTTTTATTCTTTACTAGCTTCAACCTTGTATATGTGAAGTGATTCCTTCATATGTGTACATTTCTCTATTTCTGCAGTAAAGCAAGTAAGGAAAAATCTTAGTGTTGCTGTAAGGAAAGACTTTGTAAAATTGGGACAAGCAATGGATGCCTTTATTTTCATTAGGTGTTTTAGTCTAAACATGAAAGTACACATGTGCTAGTCAGATAAAACTGTCAGGTTAAATTTTAGTTCTAGATTTTTTTTATATACGTTCAGTATACAAATTTTCTACTGAGATTATATGCAACAGGATTTCATGATGAGTACAAGTTAAAAAACATTACTGTTTTGTCAAATACCAGAAATAGACTGGGCTTGCACCATGATGTACATATGTTGATTTGTTTTGGGTTTTTTTTACTGTAGTGGAAAATTTGAAATTTTCTTTAGAATATGCAAGTTTGGTCACCTTTGAGATCTCAAGCTGGTTATCAGAATATTCTGCTTGGTGCTAGTTGAGTTACTTGAGTAACACTTTGTCAACTAAAAAAAATTTCTCAGTGTGTTTTAAAAAGAAATCAGAAATTCTACATGCAGGTATGTTTTGATATGACATTAAAAAAATGTCTTCTCATAAAGATATGGAGAGACTAAGTCAGTCTGGTAGTGGACTTGGAGCTACAACAGCTATTTAAAAGTAGTCCGAAAAAAGGAAAAGCAAAAGCAAACTCTAGAGCTAATGAAATGCCAAAGCCAAATTTACAACAGACATCTCAGTCCATTGTTCCAAAGAGGCCTCAGTATCGTGTCTGAACTTGCAAATGCAAAATATTAATTTGACCATGCAGATTGTTGTAAGAACCATTTAACTCACCAGTTTAAATGCACATTTTTGGTTATTACCTGTGAATGTCTAGCTGTGTATATCAAATCAAGCACAGGCAAAGCTGCATGCAACACTACAGATGTAATTTTTTAAATGACAGTGTTCTTCTATACTTGAGTATGTTGATGCAGTGATATGTTGACCATCTGATGCAAATGGCAAAAAGTTACTTACTGGTGTTTAGTAGTATATTTTCAACAAGTAATGAAAATGTTACTAAATGACTACATGAAGCATAGAGTATAGGAACGTGACTTGGTTTGACTGACAAGTCATAAAAAGGGAATTTAATTTACTTTATTGCTTTTAGTTTCTATTACTTTGTGAGACCAAGCAGAGTTCAGTTTTTTAAATCAAAATGATTTGTTCATTCATTTGAAGTCTCTTAGAAGAGGAGATAATAGAAAAAGGTCCATCAGCAAAATTGAATCCGAAAGGCAAGCGAAATCGATTGCCTGCGTTATTGATCTTGGTAGCACGGGGAATGCAGAGTCCTCTCTAGAACTGCCAGGCAGCAGTGAACTTGCAGACTTCAGTGCTCAGTTTCTTTTTGTTTGCTGCCCTCTGCGGTTCAAGCTGTAAATCAACGTAGGATTTGTATGCATGGAGTTAGCTTTACACACTTCCTTACACGCTCATTTTATTTGCACGCTACTACATGAGGAGAACTCAAAAACTTAGAAACTACATAAAATACGCTATTCTTAGCTTTTTCTTTAAAAGCAGAAATGCGGGGATTTTTAAGCTTTCAGCTAATTGAAAGAGTATTT